ACACGCTTTGCCTTAGGGATAAAATTTTCAAAACACTCTGGGTACTTGCTTGTCGAATTCCCATTCAAGTTAATGACCAAAGTTATTCTTTCCTCTTTTGAGCTTTAACTTTTGAGTGCATGCTCAAGAATGTGTTAAGCTCTGAACAAATACGAAGATGCTGTTTGTTTCAAACAGCTTGCAGCAGAGTCTCTGCTTTCCCACCCACGTAAAGTCAGGTGGGTCAGCTCGTATATTCAAACTCCCCCATCACTTGGGGAAGGCATGAAGTGTTTGTACTGGCATGTGTTGCTGTCATTGGGAAGCTGGTGGAATCTGATGAAGAGGAATAAGTTACAGCTGTATGAGTAGTTCAATTATGTGCACATCTTGATTGTCAATTAAAAGTCTGTTCTTTTTAATAAGCTGTTGATATCACACTGAGTAAATATATGGACCTGAAAATAGGAGAACGTGAGATTTGGCAGGTTGGAAGGCCAAAGGACATGGACAATAACATGAAGGCTATGGCAGGAGCCTGCTGAGATACATGACTCATTGTCAGTGTGGTATTTTGCTCAAGAGTGTTCTTGCATGTAAACCAGTCTCTGAGTCAGAGGAAAGTAGTGAATGCTTCTACAAAATGTTTTGGTGTTTTTTCAGAGAAAACAGGTGCAAAGTGACCTTTTGTTTCCCCCCTCACTGTGGTCTGGTGGGAGCATTCTCACTCAACATTGTGTCATGCTTCTTGTCTTGTTTTCTTGCTTTTCTTGAAGAATGCTAAAGCCTTGTGGAATTCATTGTTTTCTAATGTCATCCCTAACTGGAAGGGTGAGGAGGCTGCAAAAGCAAGCAGAGGAGATGTACGTAGAAATCAAAAGCTGAAGCAGCAGCTCAGGGAGGTACCTAAGCCAGCTTCCAGCTGATGACTGAACCTGCACAGCTGTCATGGCACACTTTATCTACTAAAGGTGGATCCAGCAGGGATGGTGGGCTTTGTGCTGAAACCATGTGCTGCTCTGATTAGACTTCTCCTGGTTGTAAAGCCAAGTTCCTTCAGGGCAGAGACAGATAAATCCTCACAAGCTGCACTCTTGCTTCCTTTTGTAAGGTAGATGTTTCCCCAGCCACTAGCTTCTTGCTGGCTTTCAGTGTAACACTGCTACCTTGATCTTTGTGTTTGAAAACCACCTTCAAGTTTTACTGTTTGAATATGAGAAGCTTCTTATGCCTGGTGCTACAAGTGCTTAAGTTAACCAAAATACTAGCTAATTTACTGATGGCATTGTCCTCATCATGAGATCTTTTTTGCTGGGATTAATTACTATGAAGAGCTTGTTTTAAGCTATAAAATTATTCTGGAGCTCATTGAAAACTGAAATGAAACATGGTACTGAAGTTTGGGAGTATTTTGAAGAACGTTTCTAGCCATCTGCTTCTGGGAAATCTTTTAGGGGAAGCACTCTATTATGGAGAATGATGAAAATCTCATTGTTAGGATTACTAAAACTAGTCCAAATTTGCTACCAAATAGTTGAGGGGTGGTGGTTTTTTTGGCTTTTCAGATTCCATGTGATAATGCATTTTTGTAATAAGCTTTGGAAACAATAAAGTTTAAAAAAATAATCTTTTAAATGTTGATTGATTGAAGGGATGACATTGTTGATAACTACTCTCAGAAATCTCCTTTTTACAAGTTCTGGTTTTGCATTGGTGGCACATATCCCTGGACTTTGAGATTCCATGAATTAAAGGTTATGCTTTACAATCAAAGCATTCTGTGTACTCTGTCATCCATATGATTCATTAGCTTTAACACAGAGCCTTTGCCTACCCTGAGCTTGCCGAGTAGATCCATGGAACAAGGAGGACACATCTGTGTTGGGTCCCTCTGGCTGCGCTGCCTTTCCTTTGGAATCTCATGCTCAGCAAGTGATGGTGTTGCCAATTTTACTGACTTTTTCATCCTTAAGGAACACAGAAAAGAGAACAGATAATGGAATACATGATCCCGGTGTAACACACTGTTCTGGGGGGTGGCTGCTTAGTGAAATGGCACTCGGGCCAAAACTGTTCTATGCCCTGAAAATAACAGAAACTCTTCTCTTTAGCAAAGTCTGCAGAAAGCTAAACTTTACGCTGCCTTGCTTTTTGATAGCGGAGGTCTGGTCTGTGCTTGTAGTTTATCTGGTTGAGGTTCTTCTGGTTACTGCTCAGCACAGGACAAGTGTCTCTGCTCACTTTATAAATAGAAAGTTAGCATCTTCCACACGGTTGGTCTGACAGCTGCACCGTGGTGTATTCATTCGCCTTTGCGCTGCACATCATGGAGTTTTCTCTTGCCAAACTTGGTGTAGTGAGGCCGCTGAAACAGTCCAGCAGACTCATCTATGGAATAACAGACCAAACTGAGGCAGCTACCTGGAGCCATTTTCAGGTTTTTATTCATCTTCTTAACTAAATGATGCTTTGAGAATTGAATCAGGGTGATGGTGGAGGAAGAGGTTTGGACAAGCCACCACCAGGATTGCCTTTCCAGGGTGAACCTGCTTCATCTTTCTGTGCAGTCAGCAGTCTGAATTCTCTGCAAGGGTAGGATCTCCTTGAAAAGCACTGTTTCCTATGGGAAACTGTGACCTTTCCTCTTTGAATGGAGATACGGTAGGATGCTAAGTTAGTTTATTGCTGCGAGTATGGTATATCTGATAAGGGTGGTTTAATTTGCTTGCAGAGATTAGGGAGTGGATTTCCCTCCCCGAGATTTCCCTTCTCAAAGTTGGGAGTGTGTGTGAATGCATGTAAACTTGTGAGTAATGGACTGCCTCCTGGGGTATTTAATTTCTATGCGTTTGTTAAATAATGTAAATTGTGGAAGAGCAGGGTGTGGGGTAGGTGCAAGACCTCTTTATCAGAAACCTTCAAAAGGCCATGTTTGCACTACTTTCTTGATGCCAGCATAATCTGAGAGATGCAGAGGTTGTATATTTGAAGCAGAGCAGAAGGTGCCTCGTCTGGGCCCTCTGGGAGGAGGAGAGGTTCGTGATGTTACCCATGTCATTTTTGTATTCTCCCCAGCTGTGAAATTGTCAGAAATAAGGATTTGTCTATATGCAAATACGTACTGATTTAGTACACGTCTTCCCTTTCTACAGACTATGTACATCCTCTTTTTGAGTGAATTGTGTTATATTGGTTTAAGGGTCACTTATGTTGCTGGAAGTCAGGGTTTTATTGTGTGTACTTTGAATATTTTTTTTTTGGTCGCCCTTAACAACTTTTTCTTAGTTCCTGGAGCATGGGGCTTAGAAGTTCTCTACTATTTTTGTAACTTTATACTATTGCCCTTTTGCTGTTCTCCCCCCAGTGCCTCTTTAATTGACTAATACTGACATAATTTAAACTGAAGCCTAGTCTGGTTTGGCTGAATTGGTTTAAAACAGAACCTTATGCTAAGCCAGAGCAAATATGCAGATATACAAACCTTGTGTGTCCTATTCCATGCGTATTACCTGCTGTTTTAACTTGCTTCTTGCTAGGGTTTTGCAAATTCCTCCTCTAATTTGGTTTCTGTTTCTCCCCTTCAAAATACAGTTAAAGCAGTTTTGTTAGCAAGTAGCAGCTTCTGTGTACATGACTCTCTTGTTCAGTGCTGGAAGAATCTTTCCTGATATGGATCTAACTTACTGTCAGAGATGGATAAGCTACAAAGCAGAAAGTGGTATTTGTTTAAAAGCAACATATTCATAAACTAGGCTTTGCAGTAGTTTTCTATTATTTTTCTACTCTGTGCATCTAAGGAAGTGGGCTTCTATTGCTTTGATACCATTTGATGATAGGTCTACAGGCTGAAACTCACAAGACCAAATCTTGAGCAGACAGAAAGAAGCATAGCTTTTGTCAGAAGCTTTAATTGTGTAGCTAAGCATCTGACCCAGATCTGTTGCTGTGTACAATATTTTGGAAAATGTGGTAAATCTAACCTTTGTACTGCAGATGTACGAACTTATTCTCTATTTTCCATGTGAAACACAATGGAACCTGATGCCAAATAAGTCAGGCTGATATTAAAGACCTTGTTTACGCTGTGTTTCTGTCAGGATAAGAGTGCAGTGTATCATGGGTTAAAAAATATTTTTCAAGTCTTGTAGAAAAGTTAACTTCTGAAATCCTGTATGGAATGGATGATTATGGAATTTGAGTGTTGTTGAAGTAACCGAAATTTAAAAATAAGGTAATTTTAGGTTAAATCTGCAGATAGTAATAAGCTGGCTTGGATAATTAATTTGGATTTGGAGTTGCTTAATTTCTCTTGGCATTTGCAAATCCCAAACTGACTCGTGGAATGTTCTTGATTGAAAAAGATTTTATTGAAAACATGTGTGACTGTGGTTTTTGAGGGCAACAATATTTGAAGAACAAAGTAGCATCTGTACATAAATGGAGGTAGACAAGAAAACTTACTGTAAACATAGCTAATGTCAATTTTTGTGGCATCATTTGTTAGCATGTCTTCTGGTTTACAACAGAAGAGGCTACAGGGGAAGTAAATTCTGTTCTGCCCAAAGATCGTTAGCTGTTCTAAATGACACTTTAAATTCGTAACACTGACAAAGCTTGAGTATAAATCTGTATTTTTCAGACTAAAATAAGAATTACTAATTAGGAATAGACCTCAAATTCATGGAACTTCTATTAACTCTTCAGAGTAAAATAGTGGCAAGAGTATCCATTTCTTATCCTTTGTCTAAGTATGTCTTTATATTAGAAAACTGTATTTAGTAGAATTGCCAAGACTTCTGAAATGAAACTGATTCAGAAGTAAGGAATGAAGAATGGTACTGAACTGTGTCCTGTTAAAAGACAGATTTTTGTTGATTTAAAAACCTGTGTCACTACAAAAATGTCTAACTGTGGTAATGGAAAATATTAATAACACTTTCTTTATGGTGATACACGCTTTGGAAGTTATTTTTAGTGATCTCTGTTCAACAAGATGAAACTATTTTTTTGATTCATTGCAGGACCAGTTTGACAACTTAGAAAAACACACGCAGTGGGGTATTGATGTTCTGGAAAAATACATCAAGTTTGTAAAAGAAAGAACAGAGATTGAACTCAGCTATGCAAAGCAGCTTAGGTAAGTTGATATGTAAAGTTCTGGACTTCTGAGTTGCATCTGTTCAGAGCCTGTAATCATCTCTAAGTTTACTGTTGCAGTGGTGGTAATTTGTTTGGTTTATAATAATGGCTTTTAGAGAATAGCTTTAATTTAGAGAATTGAAAGCTACAGTTAATTTAAGATACTGTTTTATTATCTCTGCTGAAAATCATATGCTTTGTAAAAAAGAAGGTTATTTAGGTGACTGAGTAGCATACTAGGGCTTACTCACAATTTATGCATGATTAATGGCTCAGGCTTTGAGGATAGCATTGTAATGTTTTCCATGAAATTAGGACTGCTGCGCATAAATGCTGAAGGGTTTAAGAATTCAGCAGAATAATGATCATTTGTGTAAGGCAAAGTTTAGGGTTTCTTTTCGTAAGACAGGCTCTTTATGAACGCGTGTTGGAGAAACTGCAGGTCAGAAAGTCAGTCTCAGCTCTTGGAAATTTCGGCTCTGTAGTTAGCTGGGTTGCAGCTGAAATTTGAATTTTGACAGTTTTATAATCTTGCCAGTGTTCTTGTGATGTGTCTCCTGAACAGAGCAGAGATCCTGTGAATTTATCTCAGGTAGCTGCATTACCGGAAATGCCTGCTGTGTATGGTCTATGTGTCTGGTTCGACCATCAGGTTATAGGTAGAGATGGGTGTATGTGAACCAGGCTCCAGAAAACATATTCCTTGAGATCAGATACACTGTAAATGGGGAAGGGGGACAGGAAAGGGTGCTAATAACCCTCCCACCATGAGTAGCTCCTACCCTGCTTTTCCCAGTGTAGGGTAGAAAAAAAATGAGAGGTGAACAGGGGTTAAAGGGAGTACAACACACAGGCAGTCCTGCTGCGGGGAGAGGCTGTGGTGCAATACTGTTGGCAGCCGCTAGTGTCCAGGGTGACAAACTGGAGGTGGTGGAGCTAAATGGGGCAGGAGTGCAGGACTAATCCTTCCTAACCCTTCCAGTAAAGCCATAACTTTTTTTTTTGCATTACTATAATACACATTACAACTCCTTGCATCTTCTCAGTATTTATAGGTATTGAGATCTGAAGTTCTAGTTGATCTGTATATATCTAAAGCACAATGTCTATTGAAAAAAAAAAAATATCACCCAGAATTTTTGATCCTTGTGTTAGAATGGATTTGAGATGCACAATAGCCTGTTATTTATGAGGAACTGGTAGTTGATAAAACCCTGCCTTTATGGTTATGTGCCCTCTCAGGGGAATGCCACAAGGATTCCCCAGGGTTTCTGCTATAGACAGGCAGGAAATAGAAAATTACTTGTGCAGGAACAAATTGCTCACATCCTAAATGGAGATGAGAAGAGATTGAATTACAGAGGCAAAATGAGCTGTAAGAAAGAGAGTATGACTGGACTGGGAAATCCCGGCAGAGTATCTGTGTGAGCAGGCCTGTCTTACAAAGAATCACACACTAGACTCAGTGAATTTCTTAGGATGACAAATTTCAGGTGTAAGGAGCATAATTATGAAAATAAACACACAAAATGTTTAAGGAAAGTGGGATAGTTTTACCTTGAATATGTAGAACCTCTGAACTCATGAGTTTTATTTCTTATTCTGTCCTAGACTGCCAAAACAAACTTGGTCAATTTGTTTCTTCTCTCTGTATTTTAATTCCCCATGCATAGCTGCATTTGTCTCCCCCACCCACGGGTATGATTTGAGGACAAATACATTCATCCCTGAGGAGCTCTTAAACACAACACTGTTTGGGGTCATCTAAGATGTTAGAGGTATAAAAGAAAAAACAAAAATGTAGACTTGTCAAATGTTGAGATAAAACAGTGCTGGACATTAAAAAAAAAAAATCATCTGCTTTTAATAAGTCTCCTCAAGCCTGGTGCAAACCTTTCTTGTATGACATCCATTTGGTCTAACAGAGCTGCAGCATATCACTGCATGTCATAACATGCAGACATACTATTAAAAAGGGACAAGTTAACACAAGACACTCCTGTGGATTTAACTCAAAAGTTTTATTTATAGTGTAAGTAAAGCTGCTGGACTTTATTTTCTTTTGTGGAACTTGTGTTTCTGCTTGGTCTCTGGGCTCCCTGGCTAGCTATTCGTCCTGTCTGACTATCTACATCTCAGCCTCGTGATCTGTTGAAGTTTAATTGGCCTCTATTTAAAAATGTTTTTTTCCTTCCCCTTTATAATTCTGCAGATATATATGTAATATTTTGTTTTAAAAGTGTTAATTTAGATTTACGTACTCGCAGGATGCATAAAATTTATCTCATTACACCACTGGGAGAAACTCTGCAATGTCACATACCTTCTACATTGTGCCTGCACTATTAAGTCCTGCTTGTACCATTTACAGTCGGCTCTGGTTTGAGAGTCCAGTTCAGATTTGACATGATTGTTTTCTTTATAATTGTTGAGTCATTAAATTAGGCTGGGGAGGAAGGGATGCAGAAACTATGGTAGGGTGCTCACTTGTTGCTGTGTTTTCTTTTGAACTTCTGTTGGATGTGACGTGCTGGATGCTATGCTCTGAGTGCTGAAGTGGTGTTTCATTGTCTTCCTTCCCTAGTCACTGCTTAACTTACAGCGCACACTGAGCACCAAAAGGTGTGTCAAAAGCCTTGTCTAATGTGACGATGGATAGATGGCATTGAAGAAGACATACTGGAAAAAAATGCTTAAGATATCAGGATAATCTGAGAATCGGGAGCCTCTGATGATAATGTGAGAGAAAGAGTAAGATGTCAAAGAAGTGGAAATAAGGGAGCAGAGAAACAAGCTGGAAAGGCAGAAGAAATGATGCAGTGTGAAAGTCAAATAGTGAATTGGAACAGGTGCACAGGCTGGCATAGAATCTTTCCAGAATTGCTGTTTTGACTGCTGATCTTTGTTCTTACGTGTTAGTGCCCTCTTTAATCACTATTAGCTCTGAAGGTGTCATTGCAGGGAAGTGCTGGCGTCCTGGTCATGACACTGCATGATTGCATGCTGAACTTCAACGTGAGAGAGTCATATTGACTCCTACTGGATTCAGTATCACTTCTAGATTCAGTATCACTTCTGGGTTGGTGGGGTTTTTTTGTGTGTATCCTGGTTTAAAACCCTACGTATGTTTTTGATTGAAAAAAGGCGGGGGGGGGGGGGGGGGTCAAATATATAGATTGTGTATTTTATGTGTTTTATAAAGCACATAGAAAAAAATGTTTAACCCCGATGCTAATCCTTGTTACATGCTTTCAGAATCTTTTTTTTTTTTCATGTGAAAGCATACTGTCTGCATTTTCTTTCCC